TGATCAGGCTTTCTGGCATAAACAATAGTCAATGCAGAGGGAAATCTGGCCATTTTGTTTTATTGATTTATTTCAAAATGAAATCTAGAACCTTTGTTAAAAAGCCAGGTTTTCGTGGGCCCATATACTGAAGAGAAACAAAAAATAGCTACCTCCCAAAAAGAAAGACAGAAAGAAAAAAAACAAAAACATGGAAGTAAGCTAAAAGTCTGCCCGGCCATCACGGATTAGACGAACTCTACCACTTGTCCATTAAAACCTCAAACTGCATCAAAAGTTGCCACTTTTGTGAATATGCTTTTATTTCATAGTAACAACATCATGGAAGGAGTGTCAACCAGTACGAATTCCCTATCTAGGTCAAACTGCAAAAAGATTTTGGATGTGTGTTAGGGGGGCAAGGTCAGCTTTTGTCATCGTTTAATTTTGGTTTTGGCTGCTCCATGCAGCTTGTGGGATCTTAGATCCCTGACCAGGGGTTGAACCTGGATCACAGCCGTGAAAAAAAGTGTTGAGTCCTAACCACTGGACCACCAGGGACTTCTCCCAAATTAAGTATTTTTTACATGGTGTACAAGTTCATCAGGTAACATAACATGCAAACTCTACATGTACTGAATCACTAATGTGAACATCTGAAGTCTCACTTAAAATTCCATTTGGCCACTCAGTCTCTAGAAAGGTTTAAATGGCAGGCAAGCAAGCAAAGACATGGCTCAGGGTAGGTGGGAGAAAAATCACTGGAAGACACATTTCTAATATCTTCCTCCCCATATTCACTTCAAAACACGGAAGAGAGTCAAATTAGAAACTGGGCATGATTTAAGTCACTGTTATAACAAAGGTCAAAGCCTTGACAGAGTGAATTAATTTCTAATTGAAGGAATATATTTCCAGTACCACCACACAGACCCACAGGATCTAATCTGAGACAGACTACTGGATCTTACAAATCAACCTCACACAGATAAGCCTGCTATAACATCCCTCAGAGCCACTTAAACACTGACAGTGACAAGGACTGAAATGCTCACGCTCTTGGGAAGGTCAGTCTCCCTTACCTTTAACTCAGCTTCTCGGGCTTTGCTGGGCTTGGTTACACCTGAGACTACACCCTCTTCCTCCCTCCACTTGGTAAGGAACCCGCCTGCTGGTACAGGAGGCATGATTTAATCCCTGGGCCGAGAAGATTCCCTGAAGGAGGAAATGGCAAACGACGCCCGTATTCTTGCCAGGAGCATTCCCATGGACAGAGGAGCCTGACATCCATACGGCTGCAAAGAGCTGGACACCACTGAAGCGACTTAGCATGCAAAACCCCACTTACAGTAATCCTTCCCCCTCCTTCCTACTTGGTATTCTCTTCCTCAGGCTGAAAAAAATCTGTTTTCCAAAGTTGAAAACTAATCCTGCTCCAAGAGCTATGCTAACATGTTCTGTCTCTAGGGTTAGTCTGCTCCTAAATTAATCTCTTACTTACAAACTTAGATGGGTAGGAAAGTGAGGGAGTATGTAATTGTTCTAAGTCTAACGCCGGCTTCCAAAATATCAAAGGAGGCAGGTTATATACCTCTACCTCTCACATTCTATACTCAGCACCTTCTTCCACTCAACAGAATCCATACACTTCACATCCATTTGGAAGAATATTATTAAAAAAAAAAAAAAAGATCAGAAAATAGCAAGTATGGCAAAGATGTAGAGAAACTAGAACGCTTGTACACTGCAAGTGGGATGTAAAATGGTGCAGTTGCTGGGGAAAGGTATGGCAATTCATCAGAAAATTAAACACCAACTTACCGTATGATCAAGCAACTCCACTTCTGGGTATGTACCCCAAAGAAGGGAAAGCAGTGACTCAAACAGCTATCTGTACACCCATGTTCATAGCAGCATTATTCACAATAGCTAAAAGGTAGAAGCAACCCAAGTGTCTACTGACAAATGAATGGATAAACAAAATCTGGTATACATAAAATGGAATATTACTCGGGCTTAAAAAGAAAGGAGATTTTGACACATGCTACCACATGGATGAACTTTAAGACATTATGCTCAGTGAAATAAGCCAGTCACAAAAGGACAAATATTGTACAATTCTTCAAGGTTTCTAGAGTAGTCAAATTCATAGAGACAGAAAGTAGAACGGTGTCTTCCAGACAAGACTAGGGAATCAGTTTAATGAGTATAAAGTTTTAGTTGGGAAAGATAAAAAGGTTCTAGAGATGAATGGTGATAGTGGTTATACTGCAATGTAAATATACATAATATTACTATACACTTGAAAATTGTTAAAGTGGTAATTTTTTGTTACATTTTTTTAATCACAAATTTTTTAAAAAGTTTTTTTAATTAAAAAAATAAATAAAAACAAGATTTGAGAACGTCAGGTTCAAATTAGGGAACAAGTCCCTACATTTGATCTCTCTTTTCCAAACTCTCACTCGCCTTTTTCCTCTCTGTGTGTATGTGTTAGTCGCTTAGTCGTGTCCAACTCTTTGCGACCCCATGGACTGTAGCCCGCCAGGCCCTGCTGTCCATGGAATTCTCCAGGCAAGAATACTAGAGGGAGTAGCTATTCCCTTCTCCAGGGGATCTTCCCGACCCAGGCACTGAACCTGGTTCTCCTGCATTGCAGGCAGATTGTTTACCATCTGAGCCACCAGGGAAGCGCTCTTCTTCCCTACAGTGCCAGAATCTCAAATTCAGAAAAACACTGCCAAGGAAAGAGGATTTCTCTCTCAATTTCCACTTAATTGTAAGCTGACCCTTGAACAATGTGGTTTTGAACTGCCTGGATCCACTTACAGATGACCCATATTTTTCAAAGGTAAATACTACAATATTACATGGTCTGGTGCTGGCTGAATCCATGGACGTGCAGTAACTGCAGACACACAGGGCTGACTATAATAATATGTGAATGAACCCCTGCGCTATTCAAGAGTCAGCTGTAACATGGAAAGATTTCTTAAAAATTCCTCATCATGGAAAACTGTTTCTGATTTGTATCATTTAAATAAAATAATATTAAGAAGAAACACATCTAAAACCAAGAAATATACTCTAAACCATGTCTAAAAACTATACCTGTATTTCTTCTTCTGCAGCTGCCATATCATAGTTTCAGACAGCTCAGTGGCATAAATTTCTTCAAAATGAGGGCTCATGATTTTTGTGACTTCTCCATCTCCAGCACCTAAATCAAGAAGTCTATGGGTTTTCCAGTCTGGATTAATTTTAAGCAGTCTCTGAAACTGATCTGGTGAAAACACAAACATTGAGCCTCTTCCTAGCAACCTAGAAAAGAGAAAAAGGACAAAAATGGATGACTCTGTATGAAATAAGCACTCCCCCCCCAACACCCACACAAAACAGTGACATGGCCCCAACAGCCTCCTGAACTTACAAAATGCTTATTTTATAAGATTATATGATTAAAATAGATAGCGTCTATATGGTTCATGGTTAAAAAGCAAAGTTAACAAAGTGAGAAAATACCTCCAAATATCATCATCTGTCTCTGAGGCTGCAAACAGTACACCCAAAAGAGTGGGGACAGGAAGAGGAATAAAAGGGGTGAAGGCAAGAAGAAAAATATAAGAAAATAAAAGATGACTGTGAAAAATTGAAGTCAAAATAGGAAGCAGTAATAGAAAACATGTATATCGGTTTAAAAAAATGTCAGGCCAACAGAATCAGACCACAACATTAGCCAATAACTCTGAGCAAAAAAAGCAAATTGGCGGCGGGGTTCAGGGGGGAAGCCACTTACAATATGAAACTGAACAATGAGTATAAAAAATAGGTCTAGATAGTAGATTTTAAAAAGACACTAGAGAAAAGAAGAGTGGTCCTTGTGACATCAGTTAATTTACATTTAAAAGTAGATTCATACTTGGGTCAGTTTGTATGTTATACAGTTGGCTAGGTCCTGTTATTTCTAAAAATCCTAAAAATTCTCTAAAACTTAGTAATGTCTTTGAAAATAGAGGAGTTAAAATAGAGATCAAAGAGTGCTCTAAGAAAAGCGGCTACAGATCACACCAAGTCTCAAGGAAGCATCATCTCGGGAAGTAAAACGTGTCCCTACTTAGAACTTGTTTTCTAGCTCTGAAATCCTAGTCTGTCTAGGGCAGGGATTCCAAACTTCCTGTAAGCAGCAGCAGCAGCATTTCTTTGAGTGAAGCAGATGTTACTCAGACAACATAAAATGTAACAGGAGACCGGAGAGCGCCAGCACTGCCGCCAGCCCGCTTCCACCCTTTCTCTGCAACCTGAAGCAGCTCCTAAGGCGCTTCCTCTTCAGACCCAGGAAAAGTCTGAAAACCACTGGTCTAGGAAATGGTAGGGTAATCAGTACTGTTCTGCTGCTTTCTGGAAACAATCATAAGGTACAATAAGCTTGTTATGCAGTGACTGGAAGGATGTGTGCAACTGGGTGTTCCTGGTAAGACTGGTTTCAGAAAAAAATTAAAATTATGGAGCGAGTTCCTCCTCTTCTTTCCCTTAGGAGGGGTCAACCAAATCTAACAATGTGTTTGCAGTAAATCTTCTGCCCCACAGAAATGCTAAAAAAAATGGGAGAGGGAAACCCTCAGAGATTTTCACCAATACAACCACCTCCCATAGAAAACTTCATCTCCTAAACTTTGTCTTTAACTCTCAATTGCTCCTATCTTCGAATGGGCAAACAGGATGAAAAGGAAATCTGAGAAAAGGAACTGAACTTTCTGAAATAGCTACGTAAAACTTCACAGAGGAACCACAATCAGAATAAGAAGAGGTAAAGAGAAGTTACAAGCTTAGGGGAGCTTAGGGGATGCATGTTTGAAATGTTGGTGCCCACCTGCCATAGAACCAAAAGTAAACTGCCAGACAGTTACATGGCTTAAGCTTTCCCAATTATAAAATAACACGCTTCCCTAGCCATATCTTTTGGAATCTAAGAACCCATGATAAGATAATCATAAAATTCTAGAGCTAGAGGTCACCTGAGGTCAAAGCTCATGTCAAAAGGGCACCAGAGAAAGAAGCATTGTCCTATATCCAAAGACCATGAGCAACAGAGGCTACACCAAAAGATTTAAACAAAACCTCACAACAACAAAAAATCTAACTTCATTGAGCCCAAATGACCTCTGCCCTCTAGGGAGCACTGGGGTAAGTGGGGAGGGTTTGGGTGGCCACAAAGATTGGAGGGTGCTACGGTCACTCAGTGGACAAGGAATGCCAAGACAATGACTTTGCTCAATACAGGTTTCTGGCAAATACATGCCATGGAAAGGCACAGCTCTCTAATTTGTCCTTAAGTCCCAAAGTTGGTGATGTCCACGTATGCGTATGCGTGTGTGTGCGAGAGAGAGAGAGAGAGAGAGAACCATTCTAGATTCTCTGGCCTAAATTCTCCTTAAGTCCCAAAGTTAGTGATGTCCATGTATGCGTGTGCGTGTGTGTGTGTGTGTGTGAGTGAGTGAGAGAGAGAGAGAGAGAGAAAGATAACCATTCTAGATTCTCTGGCCTAAATTCTCTCTAGATTTGGAATCTACAGAGGAAGCATGCCTCCCTCCCCCTCCCACCCCCATCCACATGCTCAGTTATGTCTGACTCTTGTGACCCCATGGATTGTAGCCAACCAGACTCCTTTGTCCATGGATTTCCCAGGCAGGAATACTGGAGGCGCTGCCATTTTCTGCCTTAGGAGAGCTTCCTGACCCAGGCATGGAATACCATGGCCCCCGTGCCTCCTGTCTTGCAGGTGGATTCTCTACCAGCGCCATCAGGGAAGCCCACGGCAGAGGTATACCTCCTCACAAACATCTTCATAAAAGAACACAGCTATCAAGTCTCTCCTTTCTTGGTTTTCCCCTTTCCCACATAAAGGAAGTCCAATATGTATCTTACTTTTTAATTCAAGAAGGTTACCACACTAATTATTTCTGTAAGAGATAGCCACTCATGGTAATAAGCTACCACCGCCATGGAAAGTACCAAAGGGCTCAAAATTAAGCTTTCAGCTGAGAACAGGGTACAGGGCAGGAGATGTTTTTGTTCTATTGTGGGAGGGGGCATTGAGGGTGGATGGAAGGGGTGAGGATGGGGGTTATTTAAAAAAGAAAAGCAGAAGAACTGTAGATGAGGGAAGCCAAAGGGGACTTAGTATTGCCCCTCTGACCAAAATGTGAAACCCCAGAGCAGAGAATTTTAACCAGGGGCCAACAGGGGAGAGGTAGGAGGGTCAGAGTTTGAAATCTCCCCAAATTACATACAAAATGTTCAATGTAAGGACTATTTGAACAGAGAATTTCTACCTTATATCACTTTCAAAGAGGTACAGAACCCCAAAAAGGCTAAAAATCACTGCTGTGGTGACTAGCCTGGTCCTCTCGCCCAACAAAAAAGGTATAGAACAGAAATTCAATGCAGTGAATTTTAGAAACAAAATGGCAGACCAAGTTGTATAAATTCAACTACCAACACAAAAATAACAACTGTTTGCTGAAGCCAATTTAAAGCAGCTTCATATAAACAATGAAGAAAGTTAAGTAAGAAATCTTGAGAAATGGCTCATGGTGCCTGAAAACATATTTAAGGACCAGATGACTGGGAGCCAGACAAGACATTCAGTAGACGCTGGCTCCAAACCTGAAGAGAAGAGAAAGTGGACCCAGCCAGTAGCTGTAAGTGGTCCACCAGGCTTTACAAGCACTGAGCCCTGCTACTTCTCTCTTTGGAGTTCTGGATTCTTGGGCTTTGGGGTTTGAAAAGTTGGATGAGAATGGATAAAAATATTCCTACAGTGTTTTCCATAGATTTAGGTGAGCAAACCACTCGAGGGACAGAGAATTTCACAAGTTTACAAAATCCTGGTGAGTCTAGACATTACATGAGAACTGAGGGAGAATCTGTCACTTGAACAAGCCACCATTTACTGCTGGGCTGAAGTAAATTAGATCCTTCCCCAGAACACCTGCTTCTGGGAAGTGTGCTTATGGCAAAGATCTTAACTCTTTGACCTATAGCTTGGTTCCAAGTATCCTGTTCCTCTCTAATAGATCAGCAGCAGGATAGGCATTACCTGGGAATGGGTTAAAAATTGGGACCACAGAAAAGTGTGGTCCCACCCCAGACCTACTGACTCAGACTCTGTACTTTAACCAGATGCCCAGATGATTTCTGTGCACATCAAAGTCAGGAAGCACTGTAACTCCCATCACAGAAACACAGAACAATGAGGCTGTTTATCAAGCTATAGGGAACTTTAAAAGCAACCTGCCGAGGCTGAGACACAGGGCCAAGGATTCTGACTGCAAGTGTTGTGGCTGTGGAGATGGTCAACATCTCAACGAGGTAACTTTTCTTTTTCCTAGACCTAAGGATAAAGAAAAAATTATCCAAGATTCACTTACCCATTGATAGATGTTCTAGACATAAACAGGCTAAAAACAGATGACACGAAAGAGTGATATAATTGGATAAATAGCCAGCCCGATTTCTCAATGCTGTTGTTTAAGAAGATCTGTGTTCCTTGATCAAGGTAACTCTGAACAAAGACAGCCTGGAGTGACTCGCATAATTTCTCTCTGTTGCACACATACCACTAAAAAGAAAGAAAAATAAGAAAAATGAAAACACAGAACTGAAGCATCATCTAAAAAATCCAAAAACAAAAAACAGAAGACTAAATTGAATCTAAGGTTTCCAAATAGCATAAATTTCATGGCACTTTGAGAATAATCAACTCTTATATGACCCGTATAAGGTATAAAATACTTCCTCCTACCTAGTTTCTGGTTTAACTCTCATTACTTTCAGGGCAGGTAATGGAGGAAGGGTGAAGAGGCTTGCGAGTCATGCAGCTTGATAGGCGACAGAGCCAGGCAAGTGCACTGACTCCTGGCTCAAAACTTCTAGCACTACGCCCCGCTGTACCCCGAGATTAGGAAAGCTCTGGTGGCCTCTCCTTCACGGAGATGCAACGCAAGAAGGCAGTAACTACCAACATTAACTGTGTTTTTTATCTAAAAACACTCAATGCAGTGATTTAACTCGAAGCCACCAAACAAACCACTAAGTAGCAGGATTTAATATTCTAGTGACCAGGGACTTCCCTGTGGTCCAGTGGCTAAGACTCCATGTTCCCAAAGCAGGGGGGTCCTGGTTCAATCCTGGTCAGGCAACTAGATCCCACATGCTGCATCTGAGAGTTCTCATGATGCTAGGAAGATTCAAGATGCCGAGGGCTGCCAACTATGACCTGGTGCAGCCAAATAAGTAAATTAAATAATTTTTTTAAAAAATTCCAGTGACCAGATTTAGCTACCCTTTTTATTGTGGGCTATATAAAGAGACCTGTAGAAATACTGGTGTGCTTTACCAGATCATTTAACACTCTTAACAGACAGGAGCCAACTGTGCTTGAGAAAGATTAAGATCTTACTTAAGGTCATATGCAAACAATAAGAAGACAAAGTAATAACATGCTAAGAAGCAGATTGCCAGGAACAGGCAATACCCAGAATATACTTTTTAGAACAAAAGTCAAGGACCTCAATTGTGGCTAAAGTGTGACCTTGTGTGATAAATGTTTCTCATTTTCACTCAGAGTTAGTACACCAAGGGGGGAAGCAGCCTGTGGGGTGCAGCAGCTTCAGAGTGAAACAAACTCTGTGCCCTGACTTGATAAACCAAATCTTTCAAACTGCTGATGGTTTTGTGTTAATTTACCATTCAATACTTTTACCAAAACTGCTTGAACTTGATACTCCTTTATTTTTCCCACTATATGACAAGCTATGAAGCTTCTTACATTCACTGCCTACATTTTTCATCTTGGTCTGAAGATGTTCGTGCTTAGTATTAACTAATTCTTAATACGCATTGTGCCTGAAGTTATGCCCCAGTGCAGGTCATAAACCATTTTTTATTATACTCCTGACCTCCTGGTTCACATTCTAAACTGTAATACTGAAGCCATTCTAACTTTTATTTTCTCTTAATTCTCTGAAATGACTAATCAAGATGAAACCCATCACCTGGGTAATAGGCAATCAGGTACATTCTATTACTGTGGACAAGAAGTCATTCACGTGGAACAGAGGAGCTAAGAATTCCTTGGACCCACTTGTAAATGGACAACCAGAACAATAACGGACTCTGACTTCCAGAACTAAGCAAGAACTGGCACCATTAACTGCAAATAATGCTTATAAATGCTCCCCTCCCCCAAAAAAAGTCTCAAGTTTTTAACAGCATTTCTCTCAATTCATCAATATTAACACATGTGGTTGAACCTTTACTGCCAGACAAATCTTTCAGAAAAGAAAATGCTTCCTGATCAAAATATGCTACAGAATAAAAAGGAGTAATGCCCTTCTCTTTAAAGATGAAGGTTGAAATACATGTTCCTCCTGACAATCTGTATGAAACAAATGTCAATTCCATGGCAGCATTATTCATAATTACCAAAAAGTGGAACAATTCCAATGTCCATCAACTGATGAATGGATAAACAAGATGTAATTGATTCATACAACAGAATATCAAACACAGAAAGGAATGAAGCACTGATTCCTAAGATTTGAACTATGAATATTATGTTAAATGAAATAAGCCAGTCACAAAAGGCCACAGATTACATGATTTCATTTACATAAACTGTCCAGAATGGGCAGATTCAGAGACAGAAAGTAGATCGTGGCTGCCAAGGGTTTGGGGAGAGGAGACAATGGGGAGTGTCTTCATGATAATGAATACGGGATTTCATTATCAAGTGATGAAAATGTTCTAAAATTAAGACAGTGGCGACGGCTGTACAACTTTGTGAAGTCTACTACTAACCATTGTACACTTCAAAAGATGAATTTTACAGTCATGAATTATATCTTGATAAAACTTTTTTTTTTAAAAAAAAACACACAAACATCAAAATGTAGGTGGCATTTTGATCTTCCAGAAACTTAAAAATGGTTTGAAAATTTAAGGAACTAAGCATATTTCTTTGAAACTGTAAATTTTCAAATGTAAATCTTATGTCACAACCCTGCTTCACAGAAGTTATCTTAAAATAATATTCAAAATACTTAGTATGGCTAACGAGGCCCTACAAGATTTGTCCATTCTGTATCCACAGCCTCACCTCATGACACTCCCTATCAACCCCTAACAACCAGTCATTCACTGTGTCACAGCACTGCACCCGTCTTTCTTTTTCTGGAAGGCTCATTTCCCAAAGCTGTTTCACCTGGTATTTGCTGGCTCCTACATTTCCCACTACCCCCAAATGACCAAAGCCTAAATATTTCCCTTGAACTTCCAGACTAGGATGGATCCCCTGTTCTAATACTCTCTCAAGTCTCATGTCTCCTCAGTAACATTTATAACCACTGACCTGAATCAGTTCAGTTCATTTCAGTCACTCAGTCGTGTCTGACTCTTTGTAACCCCATAGACTGCAGCACACCAGAACTCCCTGTCCATCACCAACTTCGGGAGTTTACTCAAACTCATATCCATTGAGTCGGTGATGCCATCCAACCATCTCACCCTCTGTCACCCCCTTCTCCTCCCGCCCTCAATCTTTCCCAGCATCAGGGTCTTTTCCAATGAGTCAGTTCTTCACTTCAGGTGGCTGAAGTACTGGAGTTTCAGCTTCAGCATCAGTCCTTCCAATGAACACTCAGAATTGATCTCCTTTAGGATGGACTGGTTGGATCTCCTTGCAGTCCAAGGGACTCTCAAGAGTCTTCTCCAACACCACAGTTCAAAGGCATCAATTTTTCAGGGTTCAGCTTTCTTTATAGGCCAACTCTCACATCCAGGTATGACTACTGGAAAAACCATAGCCTTGACTAGACGGACCCTTGTTGGCAAAGTAATGTCTCCGCTTTTTAATATGCTGTCTAGGTTGGTCATAACTTTTCTTCCAAGGAGTAAGCATCTTTTAATTTCATGGCTGCAGTCACCATCTGCAGTGATTTTGGAGCCCCCCAAAATAAAAGTCTGCCATTGTTTCTACTGTTTCCCCATCTATTTCCCATGAAGTGATGGGACCAGATGCCATGATCTTAGTTTTCTGAATGTTGAGTTTTAAGCCAACTTTTTCACNTTGGAGAATTTTGAGCATTACTTTACTAGCGTGCAACATGAGCCCAATTGTGCAGTAGTTTTGAGCATTCTTCGGCATTCCCTTTCTTTGGGATTAGAATGAAAACTGACCTTTTCCAGTCCTGTGGCCACTGCTGAGTTTTCCAAATTAGCTGGTATATTGAGTGCAGCACTTTCACAGCATCATCTTTTAGGATTTGAAATAGTTCAACTGGAATACCTGTATATAAATTGCCATGTTCGGGGTCTGTCTTCCCCAGTAGACACAAAGCTCCATAAAAGGTCAAGGACAATGACTGACTTCAGTGACTGGTGCAGTTACAGATGAACAACAAAATGTCCATCTATTTAACAATTATTGTTAAAAAAAAAAAATCACAGGCAGTCTAACAGACAGAATTTAGTGCTTCTAGTAAAATCCTGAAGAGAACACAAGGATAACCATGGAGACAGCTGTCACTGGGTTTTGACAGTTTCTAAAACTTGAATGTTTTGCAAGGCCTTGTTTAAACTCAATTCTGCAAATAGTGGGTAGCTCCTCACCCACCGAAGAATTACATTAGCACAGCAGGCAGTGAAGGAAGACACAGAGCGCCCACCTTACACCAGGCACCTGGCAAAGCGCTGCATGTTTCATGTCCCACCTCACAGTGCCAAATAAATGGGCTGCTGAGCACTCCCGACTGATTCAAACTCCTGTTCGACGTGCATGTGGTTTTTTAGAAGTTTTTTTTTTTTTTTTCAAAGAAGCTTCTCTTTGCTTCGTTCTTTCCAGTGTGTCTGTGAGATTTCAATTCTAGAAAAGAAAGCAGGACTATTCTGCCCAATTAAGACTGGATAAATGGGTCTAAAGATAATCTGATCTAGATAGTAACAGAATTACACTAAGCCTGCGTTTCTCAACCTCAGCACTATTGACATTCGGAGCCGGATAATCCTTGATCTGGGCTGTAGGATGTTTAGCAGCATCCCAAGCCAGTGCCCATCAGATGCCAGCAACACTCCCCCACCCCCAGTCATGCCAAGCTAAAACGTCCCAGACATTGCCAAGTTTCTCTGAGGGTGAAAAATCACCATTGCTTAACAACCCCTACATGGGCTTACCCAATTCCTTTAAAGTAGAAATGCAATGTTCCTATAAAATTGTATTTGCTTATCAGACTGAGGAACAGAGTTAAAAGTTTTTCTGAAATTACTTTGAGTTCTTCAACTAGTCAGACACATGGCATATAATAATCTTTTCTTCCAAAATACAAAAGACTTGAGCCCATTAGGAAAATTAGGATTAGAAAGTTACTTTAGAAAATGAACTTTCTGATTTTAGGTTATGTCAGTTCAGTTCAGTTGCTCAGTTGTATTTGACTCTTCGCGAGTGTCTTAGGTAGTGTGGTTCAAGACCCCAAGGGATGGGGTAGAGAGGGAGGTGGGAGGGGGGATTGGGATGGGGAATACATGTAAATCCATGGCTGATTCATGTCAATGTATGACAAAAACCACTACAATACTGTAAAGTAATTAGCCTCCAACTAATAAAAAGAAATGGAAAAATAAATAAATAAATAAATATTTGGTCTTTATCCCCAGTTCCCAGAACAGAGCTCCTAAAACCTTAGGGAAACTCCAGAGTGAGTGTATGGTCATGTGATGACCAAGAGGGCAAGATGGAACTTTCAGTCCCACCTTTAACATCCAGGGAGAAGAGAGAAGCTAGAGATTTAGTTAACCAACACTGGCCAAAGAGTTCATCAACCACACCTTGGTAACGTAACCTCCAGAAACCCCTAAAAGACAGGGTTCTGGGTGCTTCCAGGTGGCTGACATGCTGGGAGGATGGCTTACCTGGACAGGGCTTGGGAGCTCTGCGACACCCTCCACCTTCCCCCGCCAGCCCCTTGCCCTATGCCTCTGTTCCATTTGGCTGTTCCCAAGTTGTATCCTCTATAATAAACTGTAAACAGAAACCAAGTGTTTTCCTAAGCTCTGTGAATCGTTATCTAACTTGATGGGGGATTGTGGAAACCCTAGAATTTCTAACCAAGTCGGACAGAACACGGGTAGGCTGTGGACCCTCAACCTGCAGCTGGCATGGGAGACACGTGGGAGACACAAGTGAGGCCAGTCTTGCAGGAGGGAGCCCTTAAATCTCTGGGCTGTTAACTCCGGGTAGTGTCAAATAGAAGTGAATCACAGAACACCGAGCTGGTGTCAGAGAACTGGTTGGTGTCACAAGAAAGACACCACAGTTAAGACTCCCCCCCACTCCCCAATGTTAAATGTAACCAAAGCATGCACAAACTGGATAAAGGCCAGAACTTCAAGCACTTGTTTTCATCTTTATCTACTCACAAACTGCAAAAACAACTTGTATTGTTACATAATTTCAGTGTCTACACAGAGCTCCACTAGAGTGGGTAGAGCTTGCTATTGAGAAGGCAACCTACTTTCACAGCGCTTCAGGCAACAAGGCTTCCTAAGAGGGATGCCATGAAACAGCGGTGAAAGCCTGGGCCTTGAAACCAGACAGAGCAGGACTCAAAATTCCAACTCTGCGATCTACTAACTGCGCTCTTAAGCATGTTTGTAAAATGGGGATGTACCACCTACCTCCAAGAATTGTTTTAAGGATTAGAGAAGATAATATATACACACAGTGCCTGACACTTAATAGAAGCACAATAACTTGATTTTCTTTCCCTTCCTGGTCAAGGTTCACAAAAGCCAGTCAGGTTCAAGGGAATGCCCAAAACACACTGTGGGTCTGGGCACTCTGCCATTCTCAAAAGAAGTGAGCGACCAAAGATATGAGATACTCAATACCACTAAAGGCAACCACAGAGGCCCCGCTAACAGAGTACAGGAGAATCTTAGCTACTACAGTGGGTGGTGAGACCAACCTGAGGACACTGACCTTGACAGTAAGGATTCAAAAATCTACAAGTTCTACAAGTTCCAAAAGTTCTACAATGCAATCATATCAGTTCAGGCATTTAATCACTGATGCCTTGTATATCAGATACACTGATACCCTGTATAAGGGCTTCCCTAGTAGTTCAGACGGTAAAGCAACCACCTGCAATGCAGGAGACCCGGATTTGATCCCAAGGTCAGGAAGATCCCCAGGAGAAGGGAATGGCAACCCACTTCAGTATTCTTGACTGGAGAAATCCATGGACAGAGCAGCCTAGCGGGCTACAATCCATGGAGTGGCAAAGAGTCAAACACAACTTAGCAACTACCACACACACACCTTGTATATATGCACAGCACAGGTGTAGATATTCAAATCATTCTTTCTCTACAAATGACACAAACCTAAACCAACAACCTCTTTATAGGAGCCTTGAAAGTGCAGAGTAACAGGACACCCTCACTTCCATGAAGGGAAAGATTAGATTAAATCACTTCGATTTTGATTTAATAAACAAATTACTGGCAATCTTCATTTCAAATATCACTAGCTGTTAGTATTTTATAATCCCAAGACTTGAACAAAGCTTCAGAGGATCTGAAACAGTCTTTTACAGGAAGTATCAGGGTCCCAAGGTCACCTTCACAGGGGAACATAAAGGCCTCTGGTATGCCCCAAAGAAGAGACCTCCCTTGTACTCTGCAAAACTGAAGCTAACACTTGTTCAGGGTTTCAACACAGATTATAAGGAAGGAAAGAAAACGTCAAAATCTCTTTGGTATTCTGCTGCAAAGGACTCTAGACTTTCAAAGGTAATTCAGAGGACACAAATCTATCTATCAGCATCTGTCTGGCTAGCTGGCTGACCCCTCTAACTTTGGTCCACCTCCACAAGGTAACTGGGAAGTGAGGAGCAGGAGAAGGAACCTGTACTTTAGCACAACCTTTACCTCTGGCTGTGATGTCCAAGTACTGATATTTTTTCATCTGAAAGAAAATCCAAATTGTTTCAATTCTATCTTAAATCCATCATTGCTTATGGCAGAGCACATTTCTGAGTTTACATAAGGTGAAAAGAAAAACTCAGATATATACATATTTGCAATTTTAAGTTACCATATTTATTAAATTATTTTTTATTGAAGGAGAACTGCTTTACACAATTTTGCTGTTTTCTGTCAAACCTCAACATGAATCAGCCATAGGTATACATATATCCCCTCCCTTTTGAAACTCCCTCCCATCTCCCTCCCCAAGTTACCTTATTAATTCCAGATAATGTTATCTGTGCTCTTAAAAAACCTGGCAGTATATCAACTGGAGAAACAGTCCTGGCCTGGTTCCAAGGAGTTCTATAACAATTCTTTTGTCACTCCATCAATTGAGAAGCTGTTGAATGACTCTTATTGTCAAGAACCTAGTCAGTATGGCCTAAGAGTTATGGCCTAAGAGTTCTTTCAAGTTTCAACAGCTCTTTAACAGTTGCATTAACTAGCAGGTGCAATGCCTCAAAAAGACTAGATTCAAAGTTATTGTCGTTACTACTTTCTTTGTAAGTTCCGGGTCAGCCAATATCCAAAAGTCATACATCTAGTTTCTCACTACCTGCCTCAATTTCTTCCCAATAAGTCAAACTACCCAGCTTTCAATCTGTGATGAAGAATGTGCTGCTGATTAAGAAAACTGGAAATTTTCTCTGAAGCAAACGTCTTAAAAATTTTTTTCCCTCACTTTACAGTCTATACAAAAAAGTCGGTGGTGCCTATTTGGCTGGCAAGCCATATCCATCTGTGCTGAGAAACCCCTTCCCTTCCTTCTCACTTTCCCAAAATGAAACACAAATCCCAGCTGTGAAACTAGCACACCAAACCAAGGTATTAAAATGGCGCTGTGACTGGTTTAGAGCTGCTTTAGCCCAAAGGAGCCTTGCCTCTCCAGGATTCAGTAACTAAATAGCTATTTTTAACGAACAAACATTGCCTAAGATCTCTCTTTTAAACACAGAATCCAACCACCATAATTTTTTAATCAAACATAAGGAAAACTTGTAAGTATAGTTCAATCAAATCCATAACCCTACTTCCATGCAACTGCAAAAGAACCAGATGGCTGGCTATGGAAGCCACATACCCAAATGAACACCAGAAGACCTAGCATGAACTATTAACTTGAAGGGAGGGAAAGCATTTAGAGCTAAGTTACTTCACAAGCAACAAAGTTTATAAGGATCCTGGAATACAAAGCAGATAACAAATAATCAACTCAGCCAGGGCAGAGAGAAGTCTCCTACTTCATTTATTTCACTGTGGTTTCCATAAACATCTCTTTTGTTCACTTTAGTCTTTTCCTCATGGACAATATTTTCATAATGTGAATGCATCAACTCAAAATAATGTCTTGAGTGACAGTTCTAAGAAAAAGAGCCAATCTTCCCCCTTCCACTCAACAGTCAAAAAGCTCCAGATCAGTCTTCATTTGGAGAAACTAGCTGCCCAAATTGTTATGTGCAACTGGTTAAAATACACACTTATTACACATACTTGAGTGTCTTAGAAACATAATGAAGCAAAGGAGGTACTGGAAACCAGTATTAATTTTCCTTAGAACTTGACAGACCCAACTTTTAAAAAGTATACAATTAGGAGACATTCTGAGATGTATTGTTAGGACATCGTTTGAGGCTGTGTCTGCAACTATAATTCTACCTAGGCCCCATAAAAATCAAGAGACTTAAACAGTTTTTCAGTTTTTATAATATGTCCATTTCTTTTATGAGCACGGAAAACATCAAGTATACTGAAGTAGCAGTAATCTCAAGTGTTATAATAAACATCTACAGTCAACAGACTCTACTATAATTCCATGTCAATGGAAATAAGCCTCCTTTTTATCCTACCCAGAACTTTATTTCTACCAGCTATTAAAGATGACATTTCTATTCACTGTTTTACATCATTATCCATGTTACTTCGAGATACGTATCTTAGTAACTGAACATTATCACTACAGTACAACTCTAAAAATGACTAATCCATTGCAGAGAATGTGGTTTTACAGGTTAAGGTCACCTACTAAGTTTACCTACACCCCTAACAATATCATAGGAGTGATTAACAAAGTGTTAGTACAATAGCTGTGGGATTACAAAGAAATTTTATGGACATTTATAATTTCCTTTAAAAATAGAAAAAGCCCACTACAAATATTTTCTAAATAAAAACTAAATACTACTTCTCTGAATGGTTTTATCTACTTAGATAATACCTTTAGTTTCATTAGAACACATGAAATCAACTTCAGGGTAAACACCTGGCATCATAAGAAAAGTAATATATGAAAATGAGAAAACTATGAAAATGATGAGACACAAGATGGGGAGTAATTAGCTACCGCTCTCTGGGAAAGCAAAATGTACTATAACTGCTAGCTATTATAAACCAGTACTCCGGCAGAGTTCAAAAACCAAGAGGCTTTCTTCTCAATGTCATGTTAGCCGCAAACTACATTATAATCAAACACGAAAGACCTCACTCTTAATTCTGCAAGTGCACATACTTAAGTGCCACAAAACTAAGATAATGAAGACTATCCAGCCAGCCACAACGCCATCGCTCACGGTGCACAACTACAACTCTCTTAAAGCATTCGCTCCTGCCCAATTCTAACAACCCTTCCAGTGAAAGCTTTCATCACCTTCCTTGCTACCACATCTCTCCGGTCAGATACCAAAATCAAAGTTTGAAGGAGATAATCTCTCTTAAGAGGGGGAAGGTTCGACAGGAGAGGAGTGGCCACTTATCAAACACATTTTTAAGTGCTTGGGGAAAATGTCACCCGAACGAGCCCAGAGAGTTAAATGGCTCACGCTGCACGGTTAAATTTCTTTATGGAACCTTTGTACGTTCAGAGATTCAACCAGACAAAAAGAGAGACCGGCTTTTCGGCGTCATACTCTGGGCTGATAGAGGCTGTCGGGGGTAATGGGTTTGGTCGAGTCATTCAGTTCTCAGGCCT